CTATGAAGTGCCTCTTCGGGGAGTGGGTCCCCTGGGGAGGAATAATGTCGGGCCTCGAGGGCCCCTTTCAAACTGTGCCCCGCGCAGAGCTGCTAGCTTTCGCGCTCGCCCTAGAACACTGGAAGGGCGACCTCTGTTTCATTGCAGACCACCTGCCGCTGTACGACGGATGGCGGACGAATCGACACTTGCGCCCCAGCGATGGCGCAAATCAGGACATGTGGGCACGAATTGCCAAAGCAATTCGTGCACGTGGCACTAGTCAGCTCACTGTGATCTGGGTGCCCTCACACAGCGAGGAGTCACCTGGCCTAGCCTCAGACCCTGTGCGATACTTTCACACTATCGGCAACGCGACGGCCGATGCATGGGCAGGTGTAGCGGCCCAACAGTCTTACGAGGCAGCGCTTGTAGGACAGGCCCCTCCCACTGACCTGCACGATGCCCAGTGCACCCTCATCCGCAGGAGGGCGCGCCGTGCCCTAGCTGACACGCTTGCAGTTGATCCGTGGGTCGCGGAGCGACCCTCGCAGGCCAAAGGCCCGCGCCTCACCAAGCTGCAGTTAGCCATGCAATCGAGCCAGCACGCCTTTGAGCTCAGAGCAGGCAAGTACCTGTGCTCCCGCTGCGGGCTCACCACAGACAAGTGTAGAGTGCGCCAGGCCTGTGCCACGCCGTGCGCCCACCAGCCGCCCCTGCCGTCAGCCAGTGACCAGATAGTGCCAGCACAGGGCGCTGTCAAAATTTCTGGGCGCGAGCTGCACGCCAGCCATAAGCTCCATTTTATGCAGAAGTACCGCCTGTATTTCTGCCGCAGGCGCGGCAAGACGGCAACCGAGGACCCACGCCACCTCGCCGCACCCTGCACGGGAATCACCAAGAAAGGGCGAGATAATCTCGCCAAAATAGACAAAGGAGAATACACGCGCGCCCACGCTGGGCGCGATGGCCTCACCAAGTTTCTGCGCGCAGCTACCCACGGCATGGCCGTGGAAGAAATTTCAGCTGCCTCTGCGCCTGCCGCTGCAAGCGCCGCTCATAGTCAGGGCTAGAATGCATTTGGCATCGCCCGAACAACGCACCTGGGTGCGCTCGGTCTGTTCCTCTGTTCCTCCTCCTCCTCCTCCTCCTCCTCCTCTCCCTCCTCCCCGGCATTCTTGTCCTCCTCCCCGTCTTCTTCGTTTTCATCTTCATATTCCTCCTCCTCCTCCTCTTCCTCCTCCCCCTCCTTCCTTTCCTCAGCGTGCAAAGTGCATCCTGAGTTAGGCGTAGCGGCAACAGGCAGGGAGCGAGACGAATTTTACCCTCTTCTCGCGTCTTGCCCGCTTGCCCTCGTCTCGTCTCTCTTTGAGTACGTGCACTCCTCCTTCCTTCCCTCCTCCTTCCCCCCATGATCATCATTATCAACATCAGCGCCAGCATCATCATCATCATCACCATCATAAGCATCAACAACATCACCATCGTCAGCATCATCATCACCATCATCATCAGCATCAGCATTACCATCATAATCATCAGCTTCCCCATCATCGTCCTCATCCTTCTCCCAGCTTGCACGGACCCCCCACCGCCTCATTCTCAACTACTCACTCAGTCTTTTTCTCACTCCCTCACACACATATGTATTCATCCACCCACCCACCCACTCACTCACTCACCCACCGACTCATCGACTGCGACATCAACGTCTCGCTGCCTCCCCCCCATCCGCCTGGGATTTCAAGCTGCGACCTAAGGTATATTTCCCATCGGGGCAGCATTTGAATCCGCGGCGCGCACCGAAAAAAGGATGCACCGCCCGAGCGCGACTACATAGGAAACGCTACACGTACACCAATGAAGACCGTGCTCGAACTCGATGGCCCGTTCCTCTCCGCCCCTCGCTTCACCGAAGAGGACCGTGCCCGAGTTCGAGCTCCCTGCCCTCTCCATCCCATGTTCCTTTTCCTCCATTCCTTTGCCTTATAAAGAATGTATCCGTGTCGCACCCCGAGGCCAGTTTTTAGGGCGGGCCTGGCGTTTCGCCGGCGACTTCCTCACCACTTATGATTCTGAAGGTTCAAAATTGGCACCAGCTGAACAGATGGAGGGCGGGTGGTTTTCAAACTGTGGCTCTCGCCTTGGCGCGGCGCACATTGATTTTAAGGGAGCTTCACGGATTGAGGGCGGGTGGTTTTCAACATGTGGTTTTGGTCTGAGCGCCGCGCACATTCGTTTTAAATCAGTGCAGGAGTTGCACGGATTGAGGGCGGGTGGTTTTCAACATGTGGCTCTCGTCTTAGCGCCGCGCACATTCGTTTTAAACAGCTGCTAGAGCTTCACGGATTGAGGGCGGATGGTTTTCAACATGTGGCTCTCGTCTTAGCGCGGCGCACATTCGTTTACACAATATTCAAGAGTTCCATATATTCCCATCATCAACGTACCAGAAATGGTGTTGTGGAAAAATTAAGGATTATGCGGGCGCAACAGTTACGTTGATTATTTGTGTTATCGTCCTAGGAATGGCGTTCTGGCACGATTCAGGATCGTCAAGACGCAACAGTCAGGTTGATCCGTGGCGTTGGAATCGTGAGAACAATGTTTTGGCATGCTTCAGGGTCTTCAAACGGGTGTCTTTCAGCGAGGCAGTTCCCTCAATGGAAATGCACCGCTGTAGGGGCCTATGGAGAGGCAGCTTGGAGGGAGGGTTTACTCCAGCATTTCTGGTGACCCTTGGGTTTACACTGGTCCTTCTCCTCCTCCTCCTGCTCCTCCTCGAGCCCAGCAATGACAGAACTGATCCCCGCACCGCCGGCGCTGCGGTTGGCCGCCGGGAAGCCAGGAGCGCGCCCGGCCGCGCACTCGGCCGAGCTGGGAGAGTTTCTCGTAAGGCGAAGGCGGAGGTAGACGCCGACCTCCGACTACTGTGTTCTTGGGCCCTTGTTTTGAAACCGCAGCACCTCCTACTGCCAAAGTGCGCGTCGAGTGTAGTTGCGGGAGCTCTTCGTTAGGGCTCGGATTGTGATGCGGGGGTATAGCGCCAATCTCCCGAAGCGCTCAGATTCTCCCAGATTGTGCTTCGGGTCTTATGATCGGTAAGATTAACAAACAAATATCGCGTACCAAATCACCGTTCATAGATCTACGAACGCTCTACGTGCTTGTTGCCGACTCGGCGGGGCAATCAAGGCTGGGATACATGGATAAATCAATTATGCTGTCGATATCCCTACTCGAGAAAAGGGGTGAGGGAGGACCTGGAGGTGCCCAAGCCTCCGACGCCACGGCTTCATTGTGAAGGCCTTACGGCCAGTGCTGCCGACCCCAAGGGCGGAGCCTCCCCCGGGACCCCCGCTGGCGCCCCCTCCTCCCCCCTCCCGGGATCCGCCGGGAGCCCACGGGGGTGGGGCGGCATCCTGGCCCGGGACCACCCTCCCCCACCACAGGCAGGGCCTCCCCCAGGACCCTCCAGGACCCTCCGCCCGGGCTTCCGGCGCCACGGCCTGCTTACAGCGCGTGGGTTTTGGCGCCCTCGAAGGCCCATTCCCTGGAACATGTGTCCTGGTCTGGGCTGCTGTTGGATAGTCCTGGGGCCCAGAGGCGGCCTCCCAGGGGCCGAGCGGGCGTCGAGTAATGGGGGTGCCATGAATTCCTGAAGGGCCTGGCGACTTTTCGCCAGTGGACTTGTGGGGATCAAGCTGGATAAATCAAGGTAGACGCAGATAAATCGAGGTGCATCCAGTGCATTTCCTGGCACATCCCGGTAAATCCAGGTGAATCCAAAGATTTCCCGGGAAATTTGGAGCAAACCTTGGCCGCTCCAGCACGAGTCGAGGGACGGCAGAAGTCGTTGAGCCTTGAACGATGCATGTGGGGGTGAAGAAAGGTGCACCTTTTGTACCTTAAAGGGGCCCCCGTGGGCCCAAAAGGGGCACGAAAGCTGCACGTGTTTCCTTTCCCGCTCATCGTTTTGCCATGACCTGGCGCCCCGAGCCGAGACTGGCAAAAGCCTCCAGTGCCAATTCTTCGGGTCGCAGGGGGTCTTGGCCGCGGGCTTCCGAGGATGGACCTCCGGGCCCCGTCTGGGAGTGCGCCCCGCTCAGAATCCCGAGGCGGCGCTGGCCGTGGCCGCGAGGGTACCCTCAGGAGGCCCCCCAGCAGAAGAGCCAAGAGCAAGAGTGCCGAGTCGAGGCTCGACCTCTCGAAGGCCTCGGGGCGTGAGCCGCCCCGAGGCCTTCGAGGTGGCTGCCGGGCAGGAGGGAGGATGGAGGGTGAGGACGCCGCACCCCCTTTCCCTTCCTGCCCCACCCTCCCCACTTTCTCCCCACTTTCTCCCCCTCTCCCTTCCTGCCCCATCCCTTCCTCCTCCACCTCCTCCCACTTTCTCCCCCCTCTCCCTTCCTGCCCCATCCTTCCCCCTGGCCCGCATCCTCCCTGCCTCATCCTCTCCGTCCTTCGATCCTCGTGCCTCGTTTCTGCGGCGAGCGAGGGGGGGGGAGTGAGAAGGAGAAGGCCTTCGCAGAAGGCGGCGGGACTTCCCGGAGGCCTTCGCGCCTGCCGGGAGAAGTGTCCGGTGCCTCCGGGGAGGGCCCAGGAAACTTCTCAGAGGGCCGGGGAACGTCCGAGCCCTTTGAGAAGGCCCACCCCTTCTCGCTTCCCCCCTGGCGCGCCGCCTATCTTACGGGGCGTGAAAACGACCACAGCCACTGCTTTTCTTTTGTTGCCGCCTGCTAGCCCGCAGAAAGAAAGCAGCGGTTGTGGTCATTTTCGTTGGGCTTGGCACCAGGGACATGACCACAGCCACTGCTTCTTTTTCGGCCGGCTCGAAGGCGGCGCAAACAAGAAGCAGTGGCTGTGGTCATTTTCCCGTCCCGCATATCTTCCTCATCCATCTCCTTCTGAGAAGGCCCACCCCTTCTCGCTTCCCCCCTGGCGCGCCGCCTATCTTCCTCCTCCTCCTCCTCCTCCTCCTCCTCCTCCATCTCCTTCTTGCTTCGGCCGCCGCCCGGGCCGAGGTCCATCGTCCAGGAGGTGAAGCAGCAGCACTCGGTCCTCCTCTACTCGCTGCGCATGCTCGAGGCGCGCCTGGTGAAGGAGTGCCCGAACTCCGACCACGTCCGCGCCGAGGATCCCAGGGACGGAGGGATCTCCTGGTCCTCCTCCTCCTCCTCCTCCTCCTCCTCATCCTTGTCCTCGTCCCTCTCCTCCTCCTTCTCCTCCTCATGCTTCTTCTCCTCCTCCTCCCCCTCGTCCCTCGCCTCGTCCTCCTCTTTCCACTCCTCCTCCCACTCCTCCTCCTCCTCCTCCTCCTCCTCATCCTCATCCTCATCCTCCTCCTCCTCCTCCTCCTCCTCCTCCTCGTCATCTTCCTCCTCCTCTCCTCTTCTTTCTCTTCTCCTCCTACTTCTCGTCCTCTTCCTCTTCCTCCTCTTCCTCCTCCTCCTCTTCTTCCTCCTCCTCCATCCCCTGTCCGTCCCAGCAGCTCCTCCCCGTCGCGCTCCCAGACGTGGGGACACGGCGGGCCTGGCGTTTCGCAGGAAACTGTCTCACCATTTCTGACCCTGAGACACGAACTCTGTAAGGGCGCCCTCGAGGGCGCGAAGTTGTTCGCGCTTCGCGGTCCTCGTTCCTTCTCCCCCTCCCCCTCGTCCTCCTCTTCTCCCCTTCGGGGGGGCGGCGCGCGAGCGCGAAGTTGTTCGCGCTTCGCGCGTCGCGCGGCGCGGAGCGCGAAGCTGGGAGCCCTTGACTCCTGCAGCAGCTGCATGCATGGAGGGCGGGTCGATTTCCCGAGGAGGGGATTTATCCATATCCACCGCCTGGAGGGTCAGTTTGCGGAGCCTCGGCAGGCGGTGGATATGGGCAAATTCGGGCCCCCGGGGGCTGAAACGTATCCATATCCGCCGCCCGCTGGGGCACCAGGACGTCGGTTCCCAGGCGGTGGACGTGGATAAATCCCCGCCTCGCAGATTTCAAAATGGGGCTCTCGCTTTAGCGCCGCGCACATTTGTTTTAGCAGTTCGCAACAGTGTTACGGATGGAGGGCGAGTCGTTTCCAAGATGTAGTTTTCGTTCGAGTGCCGCGAACATGGGTCTTAAAAGTTCGCAGCTGTGTGCAATCGGTGTAGGGTGGGTCGTGTTCAACATGTGGTTTTCTCTCGAGGACGCGCACATTCGTCTTACAAGTCTGCATCAGCTTCAAAATGGTTGGAGCCCCAGGACTCGCTGGCACGACTTTGGATTGCCAGGACGCAACAGCCACTTTGATTTGCTGTGTCGTGTTGAAGTCTCAGGAACGGCGTTCTGGCACGATGCAGGGTTGTCAGGACGCAGCAGTCACCTAGGTTCGTGGCGCTGAAGTCCCAGGAGTTGTGGGCCTATGAAGAGGGAACTTAGAGGGAGCGCGTGCTGTAACTTAGTTGGTGCGTCTTTGCTTTATACTGATATTTTTCCGCCTCCTCCTCCTCCTTCCATTCCTCTTCGGCTCAACCCGACTTTGTAGGCATGAGTGTATCCGCTGCTTGTTCTGGAGCGGGGGAAAAGGTAAGGGAAAGGGCAAAGTTCTTCTCCTCCTTCTCCTCCCCCTCCTTTTCCTCCCATTCCTCCTCCCGTTCCTCCTCCTCCTTCTCCTCATCCTGCGCCTCCTCCTCCTCGTCCTGCTCATCCTCTTCCTCCTCCTCCTCTTCCTCCTGCTCCTCCTCCTCCTCCTCCTCCTCCTCCTCCTTCTCCTCTCCCCCCTCCTTTTCCCATTGTTCCTTTTCCACCTTCTGGATAGCACAGCGCAGAGCACGGGTATCTGAGAGCCCGCCTGCTTTGCCAACATGTGGCCAGGTATATTGTGCGCACACGACGCTGCCCTGGCACAGTGAGGAGAGAGAGAGAGAGAGATAGATTGAGAAAGAAAAAGAGGAGCAACAAAAAACATTATAGCCGGAGTGCAGTATCCCCAAACAGGGTTTTTACACCCATTGCGGTTTCCAAGGTCGATTGCGTGCCCGTCCAGTGCGGGTTGGCATGGCATGTTAAACATGCCTCCTCCTCCTCCTCCTCCTCCTCCTCCTCCTCCTCCTCCTCCACCTCCTCTTCATCCCGAACGGCATCTCAGTCTCAGAGCCCAGAGTTGCGACGATGTCTTGCGAACCTGTGGCCGTTTGGGCTCCTCAAAATGCAGGGGGGGGGGCCACAAGAGCAGGAAAAATCAACGAATCGACACCGGATGTGTATTAACTTGACACGTTCTGAGAGGGGGCCTCCTGGGGCCTCCTGGGAGCCTCCTGGGAATCTCCTGCGGACCTCTGGGGCCTGTCCTGGGCGTCCTGCGGCCTCCTGAAGCTCTCTGGGGCCTCCTGGGGCTCCCCGGGTCCCAGGGGGGATATGTAACATGTGGTCTTCTGGGCCCCCAGGCTGGACCACCTCTTGCGCAGCATCTGAGAGCTCAGAGTTGCGAGAATGTCTTGTGCGAAACGGGCGGGACCACCTTGCGCACGGCACCTCAGAGCTCAGAGTTGCGAGGATGTCTCAGGCGAGATGGGCCGGACCACCTCGCGCAGGGCATCTCGGAGCCTAGAGTTGCGAGGATGTCTCAGGCGTAACGGGCTGGACCACCTCGCGCGCGGCATTTCGGACCCCAGAGTTGCGACGATGTCTCAGGCGAAACGTGCTGCGAGGAAGTCTCAGGCGAAACGGGCCGGACCACCTCGAGCGCGGCGTCTCAGAGCTCCGAGTTGCGGGGGCCTCCTGGTGCCTCCTGGGGCCTCCTGGTGACCTCCTGGGGCTTCCTCCTGGGCCTCCTGTGGCCTCCTGGACCCCACCTGGGGCTTCCTGAAGCCTCTTGGGGCTCCCAGGGGGGGATATCTAACATGTGGCCGTCGGGGCCCCCAAAATGGGGGAGGGGGGCCACAAGAGCAAGAAAAATCAACGAATCGACACCGGATTTGTATTAACTTGACACGTTCTGATAGGGGGCCTCCTGGGGCCTCCTGGGAGCCTCCTGGGAATCTCCTGCGGACCCCTGGGGCCTGTCCTGGGCGTCCTGCGGCCTCCTGAAGCTCTCTGGGGCCTCCTGGGGCTCCCAGGGTCCCAGGGGGGATATGTAACATGTGGTCTTCTGGGCCCCCAGGCTGGGCCACCTCTTGCGCAGCATCTGAGAGCTCAGACTTGCGAGAATGTCTTGTCGAAGCGGGCCGGACCACCTTGCGCACGGCATCTCAGAGCTCAGAGTTGCGAGGATGTATCAGGCGAGATGGGCCGGACCACCTCGCGCAGGGCGTCTCAGAACCCAGAGTTGCGAGGATGTCTCAGGCGTAACGGGCTGGACCACCTCGCGCGCGGCATCTCGGACCCCAGAGTTGCGACGATGTCTCGGGCGAAACGTGCTGCGAGGAAGTCTCAGGCGAAACGGGCCGGACCACCTCGAGCGCGGCGTCTCAGAGCTCCGAGTTGCGGGGGCCTCCTGGGGCCTCCTGGGGCCTCCTGGTGACCTCCTGGGGCTTCCTCCTGGACCTCCTGTGGCCACCTGGACCCCACCTGGGGCTTCCTGAAGCCTCTTGGGGCTCCCAGGGGGGGATATCTAACATGTGGCCGTCGGGGCCCCCCAAAATGGGCGGGGGCCACAAGAGCAGGAAAAATCAACGCATCGGCACCGGATTTGTATTAACTTGACACGTTCTGAGAGGGGGCCTCCTGGGAGCCTCCTGGAAATCTCCTGCGGACCCCTGGGGCCTGTCCTGGGCGTCCTGCGGCTTCCTGAAGCTCTCTGGGGCCTCCTGGGGCTCCCAGGGTCCCAGGGGGGATATGTAACATGTGGTCTTCTGGGCCCCCAGGCTGGACCACCTCTTGCGCAGCATCTGAGAGCTCAGAGTTGCGAGAATGTTTTGTCGAAACAGGCCGCACCACCTTGCGCACGGCATCTCAGAGCTCAGAGTTGCGAGGATGTCTCAGGCGAGACGGGCCAGACCACCTCGCGCAGGGCATCTCCGAGCCCAGAGTTGCGAGGATGTCTCAGGCGTAACGGGCTGGACCACCTCGCGCGCGGCATCTCGGACCCCAGAGTTGCGACGATGTTTCGGGCGAAACGACAAGACGAGGAAGTCTCAGGCGAAACGGGCCGGACCACCTCGAGCGCGGCGTCTCAGAGCTCAGAGTTGCGTGGGCCTCCTGGGGCCTCCTGGTGACCTCCTGGGGCTTCCTCCTAGGCCTCCTGTGGCCTCCTGGACTCCACCTGGGGCTTCCTGAAGCCTCTTGGGGCTCCCAGGGGGATATCTAACATGTGGCCGTCGGGGCCCGCCAAAATGGGGGGGGGGGAGGGGCCACAAGAGCAGGAAAAATCAACGAATCGACACCGGATGTGTATTAACTTGACACGTTCTGAGAGGGGGCCTCCTGGGGCCTCCTGGGAGCCTCCTGGGAATCTCCTGCGGACCCCTGGGGCCTGTCCTGGGCGTCCTGCGGCCTCCTGGAGCTCTCTGGGGCCTCCTGGGGCTCCCAGGGTCCCAGGGGATATGTAACATGTGGTCTTCTGGGCCCCCAGGCTGGACCACCTCTTGCGCGGCATCTGGGAGCTCAGAGTTGCGAGAATGTCTTGTGCGAAACGGGCCGGACCACCTTGCGCACGGCATCTCAGAGCTCAGAGTTGCGAAGATGTCTCAGGCGAGACGGGCCAAACCACCTCGCGCAGGGCATCTCGGAGCCCAGAGTTGCGAGGATGTCTCCAGCGTAACGGGCTGGACCACCTCGCGCGCGGCATTTCGGACCCCAGAGTTGCGACGATTTCTCGGGCGAAACGTGCTGCGAGGAAGTCTCAGGCGAAACGGGCCGGACCACCTCGAGCGCGGCGTCTCAGAGCTCAGAGTTGCGTGGGCCTCCTGGGGCCTCCTGGGGCCTCCTGGTGACCTCCTGGGGCTTCTCCTGGTGCTTCTGAAAGCCCAGGCCACCCAGGGGTCTATCTAACATGGTGGCGTCGGGGCCCGCCAAAATGGGATCAGCAGAATTACGCAGAGCAGGAACGAATCAACGAATCATCGACACCGGATGTGTAGAAACTTGACACGTTCTGATAGGGGGCCTCCTGGGGCCTCCTGGAAGCCTCCTGGGAATCTCCTGCGGACCCCTGGGGCCTGTCCTGGGCGTCC